GTGGGTGTGGGTGTGGGTGTGGGTGTGGGTGTGGGTGTGGGTGTTGGATTTCTACTTGTCCATACCGAAAGCCGCATCGAAACTGGAAGCTGTACATCACACCCACACCCACACCCACACCCACACTCACACCCATACCCACAACCACACCCACACTCACACCCACACCCACACCCATACCCACACCCACACCCACACTCACACCCACATCCACACCCACACCCACACCCTTTGATCATTTATAATCAATATTTTTCAGTTCATAATGTGATCGAAGATCGCATAGAGGGCGTAGGTGTTGGAAAAGAGCGCACTTCACACTCACAGCCACGGCCACACCCACACACACCCACACTCACACCCACATCCTTAAAATTAAGTAACATAAGAAAAAATAATATCTCAAAAATTGAAAGCGATTTCTTTTAATATTTAGTGCTTAAATCCTGGAATTAGAAGTTGGAAATGCAAGAAGAATACCGTCTAAATCAATTTTGAAGGACTTTTTGACAGATTTCGAGCTGAATAACATCGTTTGTCATGTTATCGAGTATTAGATCGAGTATATAGTATTGAGGTTCGATTACATGTGTTTTGTTCGAAGGAATTTACGCATTGGTCCTAACTTCCGGTCGCTTTTTAGAGTAAGTCGAAAATTCCTCGGTCAGAAATGTAGACATCATCGAAGCTTTCTCAAAAATTCACTTTTTCACTTTTCTTGGTCCTCAGTTTGTACTAATATGTATACGACTGCTCATCGAGAGTTATATGCATATAAATAATCCACCTGCGATGAATCATAAGGTAGAAGATAGGATATTTATACCAATGTTCTGAATATAATTGTCTTGATACTGGGGCGATCAAAATAGAGCTACCACCACTATTCAATCAGAGTATCGATGATATTTAATAATGATTCTCAATAAGAAAAAAAGTATAGATCGTTTTTTTAATTTATTATTTAGGGTGTGGGTGGGGTGTGGGTGTGGGGGTGGGTGGGTGTGGGTGTGG